TGGGATCACCGACCAATCAGGATCGCCCATAAAATACTACAGTTATTGCATGCTTCGCATGCAATAACTATATAATACTGTATAGTATTGGTTAATATGCAATTGTTTAATATTTAACTTAATCACAAATATTTGACTATTAAATTTTTATTTGATTATGCCAAGTACTAAGTATTATAAACAATACAGTATATAATATTTTATAATATGCTTATTAACATGCTATAATACAAATTTTAACAAAAAGTATATCCCAGTATATAAAATTTTTTTTAGTATATCTAATACTCTAGCTATACTTGTTAGCAAAAGCTATAGTAAAATTATTAGCTATGTAGATATTTTTTATTTTAATTATTATATAAATTATAAAATTAATTATTAAGTTAAAATTATAAAATTAGTATATTTAAATAATAAAATTTTAATAAACTAACTTAATATATGTCATGGATTATTATGAAATCGGATTGTCGTAAAATTTAAATTTATTTTATATATGATTTTTAAAAATTTTTTGTGCTTTTTTGTAGACTTTTTTTTTATAGTTAAGTTAGAGTTTAGAGTTAAAATTATTAATAAAAGAGTATAGGTGGATTTTGGTAAGGCTTATATTTTTAAATCAAGACCCCAAATTTCACAATGATCTGATTTCATGATAATCTGCAACAATATATAATATTATACTTTTAAATTATATTTAAGTTTGTTCCTGTACATTATTGCATGAGTTTTTAATTAGTATATATATATATATTTTGGGTATTAAAGTGACCTCTTTGGCCAGGAAATGTTTTATTAGATAGTTTTGTTTTTCAATTACAGTAAGGGTACATCAAGCCACACATGCACCTTTTGAATGCCTAATTTAAGTAGTCTGCCTGAAGGCTTTACACTATTTGCTGTACCTGTATCCCAACTAGAAGAGTACTCATTTAAATCCTCTAACCGTAACCTACTTTCAAACCAATAGATACTATCTAACCTGAGGTATAGCTTACTATACACAGGTAGTTCACTATTGCCTAGTCTGATTTTGCACTCACCTTAGAACTTACTAACCCCAATGAGGTTAATCTATCTATGAGGTAAACCTAACAAAGTGGTCCACATTCCACATGTGTATTCACCTGTATGTTCAGTAATTTCTTCCCAATTAGTACATATTGTTTGCTGCCATTGTGTTCATATCTCATACCATCTTTGGGGTACTGCTATAACACAATCTGTATCTTAAGCACAACCTTTCTAATTAGTTTTTTATTACATACTCCTGCCCTTGTATAGTTCACAACAACCCCGATACTCACACTTCAACCGTTTTCTTACCCAGATTCTCTATTGGTCCCTCTCTTACTTCTAGCTGGCAACCCAGATGGGTTGGTCTGCCCAGGCTTCAAGTATCTGAAGAACACCCTTCTCTTGGTCCATACCTTCAGAGCATATGACCTTTTCCTTCAGTGTGTCTAAACTAGCAGTTTGGCTGGTATATTCCCTACTAAAGAACCTGGTCACTCGGTTCTCCAATTTTGGGCCCCAGTTTAAATTCAGCCTCCATGTAGTACCATTGAAGATCACTGCTACCTCCAAGACTCAGGACTTCCCAAATGGGTTTCTTGTACAGTAAAGGCGATCTTCAAGATTTATGCGATTATGAACTTATCAAGTGTTTGCACCACTCTAGACCGGTTTGTATTCCTTTGTAGTTCCCAGGTTTCCTAGTTGTACAAATGCCAGCGAATCTCCCAGGATCACTTTCTGGTACAACTCGAGTTACAGATTCTTAATTCAAGATCCAATCATGATATACAGATTACTATAATATAGGCCTATTTTTCAAAATCATCAACCATGAGATTCAAACTCTAGACCTGCCACTTGGAGAGAGTGACAACTAGACCACTTCACTAAGTCACCACATCTTCCAAATAGAATATATATGATATAAGAATATCTGTAATTCTATATATAAATTATAATTTTCTTATAGTATGTTTATAGAAGTTTTGAATCAGTTTAATATATAAAATAAAATTAAGTTCTAAACTTTAAATTTAATAATAAGATTGTTGTTATTAATCTTACAGTATCTGAGCACTATTTCAAATCTTTTATAGCAACTATCCAGTCTTTAGAAGGATTTTCATCATCAGTTTTCGAAGTCTCTAGTGAATGATATAGATTGTCATTTACAACTGGCAAAAGTTCTTGATCTCTAAACAATCTAATTAATGAATCATTGATTGCAGCTAAGTATTCAATTGTATAATCAAATATAATAAAATTAGTAAAAATTTTACAAAAAAAAAGGCATTAAATAAACTTACAAACTCCTTCTGCCATTTAAATATTTTCTTCTAACATGTTTGTTTTGGTATTCTACTAGTTTTTGTTTAATTAGATATTCTTCTCATCAATGCTTATAGCAGGTATGAATTATATTATGCATAATACTCTTAGAAACTAGAAACATATATAAATCTAATGCTTTTATTATAGTTGGAACTATAGTATTATTTACAAAGTTCTTTTGAAAATGAAATATTTGTTCTAATTTTAATTGACTTTTAGGTGATATTTTATCAACTATCCAAAAAACTTGACGCTAATTATAAAGAATATTATTTAAATATATCTAATAGAATTAGGCCCCAAAGTTTAGATCGATTATTTGCAGTAGCTGAAGTACTTATTTTTTCTACTTATACTAAAATATTAAAGTAGCAGTATATTATAATATATTACTATAGAAAGGGTTAGAGTCTCATAGTCTAGTGGTCTAGATACCTAACTCTCTACAGACAAGGTTAATAATTCAATTACAGCTAGTGGTAATTAATTTAATTAATTATCTCTGTAACCTTCAGGAGCTTTCAAATGCGAAACCCTGTGGCGGTAAGACCATGTGATATATATATTTGGCCGATAAAGAATTCTTGGAAGGAGCCCAAGCCATAGAGAAGACTGGGCACTGTGTGTGATATGGGTCACAGAAGGTATTACTGCAGAAGGCTGTATATGTGAATTCACGATTGACAAGGTAGCACCAACAACCCTAAGGTGGCATTGGGATCTTGATTGGGAGGATGGCTAAATGCGGTATATCCAGAAGTGGTGAGAAAAGCGATGAACATAGTAAGGGGCTGTGGTAAGAGGATGGCTTTACCAAATATAGAACACCTCTGGTGCAAAGAAACAAGGAAAACTGGCTAAAAAAAACTTTAAAAAGCATAAAAGCAAGTGATCTGGTGGTACAAAAATAAAGACAGGCTAGGGAGTAATAGTTGCACAACCTATATGAAAGTCAATGACGAAATATGGCAGAAGCGCGGGTCCCAGATCACTGGCTTTTGATAGTGATTAAATGAGGTACATAACTTCTGTCCTAAGAATCTAGACTTCTGTAACACTATACTAATAGAGAGTACTATAAAAGGATCGGTAGCCTAATTTGGTGGTATATGATATGAATACCTGGATTGATATAAAATATCATCCTAGTTTGGCAACTTAACTGTTTGAAATATGGCTATGTCCATAAAGTAACTCCTCTAGGGACACCAAACTGGAAGCATGAAGAGTGCCTACTCAAAAAACACCAATTTGGAAGTAATACAAGTACCAAATTAGAAGTAATGTGATAAGTGATAAGAGATAGAAGTTAGTTGGTGGACATTGTACAGTAGTATATAAATAGGATATATGATAAAAATAGGTTTGAGAACTATCCGGTGATTTAGTAATTGGTCTAGTTGCAGGGCGGTTATTAAGGAGGTAAAATCTCATATAGCAGGTCGCACATAGGTACTAAGTTAGTAACCAGGTGAACCAATATCTCGTAATACATTAGAGTGTTGTAATTGTACATGTGATATTTGTAACCAAAATACCTTAGCGTACTAATAAATGGTATTGGCAAGACTGCTGAATTTAAAAATATATATATATATTACTATAGAAGCTTAAGCAATATTAATATTTTGAGCAAAAAAAAATAAAAAAAATAACAAGCATTTCAGTTACTATAGCAGTAATCAATTCAAACTTTGTCTAGACTAATTAATGAGACAAAAATAAATTAATTTTATTTACTATTAAAGCAGCATGAAGGTCATTTGAAAGATCAGTAATATATAAATATTTTGGCCTAAATTGATTTCTAACTTGTAAACTATCTTGACCAGACTAATCTTGAATTTGTAAATAGCTTTTGTTCGATTGGTTTAGAGATTCTAAAACAGCTTGATCTAAAATATAAATTATATATATTATAATATAATGATAAATATTGAATTAGCTAGAGTAGGCTCCTTAAAGCTTGGACCAATTATCTAAATTTTTTTTCACTTAAACTTTGCTATAGTAGTGTATCTGATGCTCTGCTTGTGTAATTGTCTGAAGCGAAGCGTAGGACTCATACTTCTACGTTAAGTGATACCAAAGTTACCTTTTTGATATAACCAAAATTACCTTTTTGATATATTTATAATAAAAATATCAAAAACGTAATTGTGGCATTTTCCGTCTGAGACGCCAAAGTAAACCTTATTTCGCCTTCTAATAAATGTTGTAGAGGTGTGTCTTGCGATCAAAATGGCGGTTAAAACGTTAAAATCAGCCCAGTAGATCGCGAGATATAAGCATTTTTGTCTTCGCGATTATATGTTTTCTTCTTTATAAATAAAGAAGAAAGCATATA